GACAGGAAACAACTGGGACACACACACACTGGGTGAGTCACAATTTCTCACAGAAAAATAAAACTTAAGCAAATTGAAGGTAAAAAAACAAAGTAATACTATATTAATTTATTAGTAAATGCTGATGAGCTTGAACAGCCTACATTGGTGATGAATGATAACCACAAAGAGTTTAGCAAACTGCCAAAGTAGCTGTTAGTAAATTTAACCCCAGCAGGGGATAATATTGCTACATGATATGTTGAAAACAGGCAGGTATTGCATATAAGGTATCATAATAATGAATTTTGATGACATAGTTGTTAAACACTTATTTCAGTTATCAGAGCACTGAATGAGTGACCCCCATGTCACACACACACACACACACACACACACACACACACACTAAGAGACCTTTGGATACATGCACATAGACTCATTACACTGCACAGTACACAGTTCTGATGGACAGGATGCAACAATTTTTAATTATTTATGGAACAGGGACAGTGAAAAAAAAAAGAGAGAGAATTATTTCAACATCTGGACAAGGAGCGCTGCGCTGTTGTTTTGTTTCTTTTTCTTCTCTGATCTTAGCAGTACCAAGGGGGACATATACACATGGCGAAGCAAAGTGATTTGGAAACGGATGGATTTGGGATGCAAGTCCGCCCGGAGTTGGCTGACAACAGGCCCATAAGTTGGAATCTGAGTACACTGGTTAAAACATTAAACTTGAACTATGGTGGCCTGTAGGTTTCAGGCCTAATACAAAAGCCACAACACGAACACAAAAAGCCACAACACGAACACAAAAGCCACAACACGAACAAAAAGCCACAACACGAACATAAAAGCCACAACACGAACACAAAAGCCACAACACGAACACAAAAGCCACAACACGAATACAACCGCCACATACAACAAGTTGACAACGAAAGAGACGCTTAGTAACAGTGGATTACTGTCTGCAGAACACAGCTACACAGTAGTACAGCGACAATGTAGCTGTTCCACATTCAAGAGGTCCAGGTTCAAATTTTAGAAAGAACTTTCTTCTTCCTGTGACTTTTTCCCGCATAATGCCAAATTAGTAAATGTAGGCCTACGTGGAAGAAGAACTTCTTACCCGTTTGATAAATAAGTACAGCGGGATATTTGTGTGAATTAAACAGCTGTCTGTGCATATTAGCATCATAAACAAAAAGCAAGGAGTCTCAGGTTACCATGGAGATGACTTTATACTTATACAAAGGGGTGCGGAGGTGCTGCAGCGCCCCCTATTCATAGTTTTCACGTGACGTCACATTCCATGAAAAACGCTCCCTTGGAGGACAAAAAAGACGTTATTTTCCACTGCCAGGAAGCAAGTGATCCACTGTTACTATGAGTTTTTTACTTTTGCATTGCCAAAATGCTGGATGGTAGTTGTACTTTCTGATGCACAAATGGAGGAAGAGACCAGCCTGAGCTGTGTTAGGTGAGGGGCTCCCCACAAGATAAACGTAAACATTACTGCAGTCGAGCGGCGGCAGGGAAAGTTGTGCTATCTGTGAGTTTTCGTCGATGGGCGTGTCCGTGGCGTGGCGTCAAAATCAACTCTTCGCCATGACACAGGAAGTTGTTGTAACTTCAGTGTACATGCTCACATCTGAACAAAACTTTACGTGCTTGATAACTGTTCCACCCCGAAGACATCCACACGCCAATATTAATTTATATTCATAGCGCCAAGTGCTATGTAGTGCCACAAAGGGGACACAGGAAGTGACGTAAAACACCTTCATTCAGCGTCGGAAGCGCGTAGCAAATTCACAGCTGCACCGGCAGAGATCCAGAATATGCAACACGGCCGCCTCACACACCAACGTGCTACACGTGCGAGGGCCCGCCCAACGCTGCTTGCAGCTTTAATTGTATTTGTGTTGTGGCTTTTGTATTAGGCCTGAAACCTACAGGCCACCGTAGTGACCTCATGTGTGAGGTGCAAATTGAATGAGAGTGTATAGCTATAGTTAACACAAAGGTTGATTTGATTTATGTGTGAAATAATATTTAATAAAAAAAGAAGCGCTTGGAAATATTAAACATGTTTTCTTTTAGTTCACTGCTACAGGCTGGAGTGACCTGTACGCACCCACATTTTCAAAAAGATTGTGCTGAAGGCCAACCAACAGAGCAACAGAGTGGTGGTAAATGCATTAGTGCACCAGTGAGCAGTGCAGGTTTCACAGCTTTACATCAAAGACTACACATTTCTCTGTTGGTGATTTGGCAAACGTCTGTTTTTAAAATCTTATTTCCCACGCGGCTGGTCGGTTTCCGTTCTGCAGTCCATCACACACAGCATGCTGAGATGACCATTGTGTTGCTAAAGCGGTTCGCCCACAATGGCCACACACAAGGTTAGTCTGTCTGTCTCTAATTGCAATTCGAATAGACAGAATAACTTATCTGGGAATGCGATCACAATGAGAGCAAAGCTCTCTCTCCCAATGCATTCAAGCCTTTTCATCTATTCCAAACCAATCACCATAAAGAGGTGATGATGATTTTATGGACAAGAGATCCTATTACTAAAAAAGATGAACAGAGAGATAAATCTCTCTCCATGATTCATGGTAAACTAACAGTGCTCTTGACTAACTTGAACTGACAAAGCTGAGCTGACAGAGCCTCACTGACTGAAATGGCTCTCTATAGTCTGCCTGTACTCAGGTACTAATAACACATGACCTACGTTTTTACTTAGGCTGCTGACCAAAGGACGATCACATGACCTGTTTTGACACTACATCTTGGAAGCAGACCAGATGCCCGGTGCTTATTGTCATGTTGCTTGCTGTGTCTGTTGCTTTTATGTTATGCTGGATGTTTCTTTGTGTGCTGCTGCTGTGCTGATGATAAAATGTGATGCTAAATGTGAAAGAATTACTGTCATGTTGTCATTGTTGAAAGTTTTCCCTCTCCTAAACAGGAGCAGCGGCCAGAGCCTAATATCTAACACTAACCAATTCTTCTTCTTCCTTTTTAGTTTAGCCTTACTAGAAAACTACAGAGTGCTGGTGTTGCAAAACTGTAACTGTATCACTAATGAAATATTGTGGTGAAGCAAGACACTGGTTCATGAAAGGTTTCACAACACACCCTCACAACTTTTGTCAAACATGCTCAATCTGCCTAAGACACAACACAGGGAGGGGATTACAGGTTTCATTAGCAGCACATCCACCACCAGATGAACCGTTTAACCACCTTATGAGGGAGGTTTTTATCTAAACCCAAGCAAAGGCAAAAAAGTACTGTTGATGATAGTTGATATGTTTCCAAAATAGATAAAGTTTTTCTTTTTCCAGCAACAAAGCCGATGCAGTCTCCCGCCAGGAGGTTTTGTGGTGGTTGTGGAGGCTGAAAGAGCTACATGGATACATACCAGCCACTGCAGGAAGGTGCCTGCACCAGAACAGTAACAGATCAACAAGCGTGCACAATCAGCAACTGAACCACTGTTTTCCCTGACCTTGTGTTGTGAGTGAAGGAGGGATTGGGAACGCTTAGGCACCCTTTGTCTCGGACTCAAGGCTGTTAGACAGCAAACATCAACACAAGGGAGCTAGTGGGAAAACTCCTGGTCTCACCACTGCTGATTTAAGAGTGAGTAGCATGTTTGTCTCTGGAAGGAGACATCCATGGGACCCAGTCAGACACCCAGACATGTGTGGGCCTACGAGGAACAACACAGATGTTTGCTGCCATTGCAATAGCATTAACAGTGCCTCTGTTGCTTAGATCACAAGCATGATGCACAAAAGCCACCACAACAGAACACCACAGTGAACTACACACAGGCATTGACATCACATAGCAGTGTTAGAGGCAAGAGAAGCACCCAAAGAGGCTGGGATGCTTGGATAATTTTAATAACTCCTCTTGTACGTTTGTGCCCAACAATACAGCTCCAGATGGTTCGGTGACCCCAGTGCTGGAAGGAATGCGTTCGCTACGAGAAGAACTTGCAGAGAACTCTGAAGTGGACACTAATATGTTTGACTGGTCTGATTCTGTATTTGCTAAATAAAAAGCCTTAGTGATGCCCATACTAGCAGGCCTAATGATTGCTGTAGCGCTGTTACCTCTCTGTGGATGTTGCATTATTCCATGTGCCAGAGGTTTGACTGTAAGAGCTATTGATAAATGTGTGTCTATTCAAATGATCACACTCCATGAACAAGTGAACATGCCATTGTTGCAGCAGCAGAACTGTGATGAAAGGAAGGACCCAGATTCGTTGTCTTGGTTAAACTGGTGTAGATTACATCATGATGCCTTTCTATGACCTGATGATCTTTTTGTAATGCTGTATATTCTTGAGTGATCAAAGAATGCTCACAAGGGAGGAGTATGTGATGGAAATTTGATATTTGTGTTTACTGTTTCACCCTGCATGCTCCATCAGAATAGACCAATGTGTCACTGTGTGGTATATGCAACACTGACATAAAATGAAAATGAAATGAATGAAATGAAAATCTGAGATAAGAACCATCTCATGTTGAAAGTACTTTAAATTTATTTTTAATCCTTGAAACACCTGCTTTCATTCTTTATTCACACCTTGTTTATACCTGCATTTAGAAAGTTCTCTTAATGCAGCTATAAAGAGAAACTTTACAGTGTCTCTGCTAAACAGAGACTCTGTAAGGTGAGACTCAAGGAGAAGAAGAAATTACCTCAGATATAATCCTGCACTGATAAAATGAAGGAAAATGCATCTTTGTTGGTAAAAAATAAAACTATCATGAAATATTATTTAATTTGAAATAACTTTTTTTATTTCTTACAGTGTTAACAGCATGAGCATTATTACATCAATGAAGCTTCACTACTTAAAGTTGAATATTGTTAATATGATCTGATGACAGAGTAACAGAGTACAGTCACTATAACAGAAATGAAAACAACAAATTTGAATGAACTGGTCTTTATTGTGTTGAAATAATCCAAATTAAATCAAAACAAACTTTAACCATGAAACATGTGATTAGAGAATGACTTAAGGAAAGAAAGAGACACAGACACAGAGAGAGTTACAGAGTTCAGAGAGCAGAGTAAAACCAGTAGCAGAGTCCCAGTGAGTCAGGTCAGGACTGGGAACACTGGTCTCTCCTCAGTGTCTCTGAGACCAGAGCCTGGGAGCCCTGGGTGGCCTCACAGGTCACAGAGCCCACCTTCCTCCACTGGTCTGCAGGGAGCCTCAGGGTGCTGCTCCAGCTGTAGCGGCCGTCCTTCTCCAGCACCCCGGGGCTCCTGCTCTCCTCCCAGCTGCTGCTGCTGCTGCTGCCGTCCACCTTCCAGGCCAGACTCCAGTCTGAGGGGAAGCCCTTGTTGGCCAGGCACATGAGCGTGGCCTTCCCCTGCTGCAGCTCCTCACTGGAGGGGGGCAGCACCGTCAGGGTGGGACGGACATCACCTAGGAGACACCAATCAGCTTAGAGGACACCTTTACTGTGTGAGAGCTGATTTTTCTGGTTTCTGTCAGATGTTTTTTCTGCTCCACCAGTCACTCACTCACACATTGTTTCACTTCCCTTTAAGAAGCCTCTCATGCAAATCAGCACAGAGAGAATCATCATACAGAACGACCTGAAATATATCAAACTAATTGACAATAATCAAATGTTCTTCATCCAGATTTCAATCATTACGTGGAGAAAGTGAATTGTATTCAATCATCCATCCATCATCAACCGCTTATCCTGCGTACAGGGTCGCGGGGTTATATTTAATCATAACTAAAGTTATCATTGTTATTGTTTATCTGTTCTCCACTTCAAGCTGTTTGAATTTCAGTGTGAGTATGTGTAAAGAAATGTTTAGTAAAGTTTCTGGTAAATGAGGAGAAATAAAACCCAATCACTGAAACAAACTAAATATATTTATCTCCATCAAATATTCAAAAGCTGAATTTAAAATATCAATAAAAGTCAACCACAGTGAAAAAACACATTGAGCTGCACTACAAAAAACCCTCACTGTAGACTTTTTCAGGCAGAACTAAAGCTACAACCTCTCAAGATACAACTTAACCATTAAAGATGGAAATCATTTTCCCTTTTGCTAATATGTAATATATTCATTGCAATGAGTTGAGGTTTTTTTTGGTGAAGGGAACTTTGTTTCCTAGTGCAAAATATTCGATTAAACATTATACATTAATATGGACATTCAAAAGGTTTTTTTGCATGCTGAATATAAAAGAAAAAACAACAACTTAATAAAAGTTTGTTAAATGGTTGACTTACTTCCAACATCCAGTCTGGTTCCTCCACCGAACGTTTCCCACAGTGATACAAACTCATTGAGCCGCCGTACAAAAACCTCTCACTGTAGAGAGACACGGCTCTCTGACTTTGACACAAACAAACTCACCAAAAATAGTCTCTGATTGTAATATTTTATCAGCTGAAATGTAAAATTAAGACAGTCACACAAATTTCCAGAATGGATGTTTTAGTTAGATATATTAATGTTAAATTCAATTTCTATATTTGTTCTTTGGCAATTTAGGCAGAAGATATTTTGAAACAAATATGTCTTGTAGCATGAAACCAAAATCATGTAAAAAGATTTTAAACCATTTAAGAATGAATACTTCAAGATTGTTATCACATTTCAAATATCAGAAATAATATGAGTATTGATCCTTGATAAACAGCATCATCAGAGTAATCCAAGTCCCTGCTGGAGTCAGTCAGAGCATTTCCATAGAGAGCCACTTTGCATCAGCAGCACCATGCTCCAGTGCTCTGGGAGAGTTTATAGTCCTGAGAGTTGAACACTGGATGACTGACAGCTGTCCTTCATGACAACAGAAGCCACAGAAATCCTCCTCATCAAAAACATGACTTTGATCTGCGTCCTCATCTGGACTCTCCTCTGCTGCTGCTTCACAGGTAAAGTCCAGAGAATCAAACTCCTCTCCTCTATGAACATCCGTCCCTCTGAAACCATGACGCTGCTTTATGTTTTTGTCTCTGTATCCTCAGAGTCCAGAGGCCAGGTCACAGTGACTCAGCCTGGAGCAGTGAGCTCTGCTCTGGGAGGCTCCGTCTCCATCAATGTAGGACCAGTCAGAATGTTTATAGCTCTAACCATTTAGCCTGGTACCAACAGAGAGATGGAGAAAGTCCTAAACTCTCATTTACTCTGCTAGCACTCGAGCATCAGGGATTCCAGATCGTTTTACAGGCAGTGGATCAAACTCTGACTTCACTCTGACCATCAGTGGAGTCCAGACTGAAGATGCAGCAGTTTACTACTGTCAGAGTGCACATTACATCAACAGTCAGTGGTTGTTCACACAGTGAAAAAGCGTCGTACAAAAACCTCCCTCAGTCAGACTGAACAGAAACTGAACTGACTGCTGCAGCTGGAAGCTACTGCAGAGACTGATACACTTCACTGAGGACACACACACACACACACACACACACACACACACACACACACACTTTCATCAAATAGATTGAACATTTCAACATGTTTGAACTAACCACCTATGAACTTGTATCACTACAAGTTCAATGAGTAAAAATATCTTTAAATTAAATTTCTCCATCACAGCTTCTCACCATTCATCCATATCTCATTATAATCCCATTGTCTTGTCTGGTTTGCCAATTAATAAAAAAGAGCCAAACTGGGACAGTTAATGAGAAAGGTATCGGTCATCACCTTTGACCTCAGCCTCTCACTGGATCTCAGCTTTTTCAGCTATTTCCAGTTAAATAAAATATGAACACATCAGCACCAGAAACCTTCATAACCAAAGATGGCAGAGCAGGACAGAGAGGGCAGATGTAAGGACAACATGTAGCACAGACTTACTGCTTCTGTTAAAATGGCTTCCTTTCACACCACCTCCTACCTGCTTTAGGATAACAGATAAACACTGTCTGGTTGTACTGACAAAACTATCAGATGTGTTCTGTACATGGCCCTTAATGCCTTTTTTTATTATCCCCTGATCTTATAAAATACTAGTTATCTGACCCTGTGGTAAACCCGGTCTCTAATGGAATGTGATTATTAAAAACAAAGACAGTAGTTATTCCCGTAATTGAACCCACTGATGAGATGAATAGGTCTTTATTTACTTACACAGACTGAGTTGTCATCACTTTCATTGGGCCTGTTATTTAAAACATTCCTGGGGTTAAAATCTCACAGTCATGTTGTATCACTTTATGCTGATTATATCCTGCTCTGTATTTCTGTTGCTAAAAATAAGATTCCTGACATTCTTACATTTATTCAGAGAAATAAAACTTACCATCATTTCTGGCTATGAATTAGTCTAAACAACATATGAATCTTCATTAAGAGGAATCTCCTGTGATACGAGATAAACGGTGGTTTTATATTAACATGCTTTATAGTTAGTGGTACCCCAGTTATTAAAGTATGAACAAGTGACATTAAAAAAGACAGTCTTGCTATTATTGTGTCTTCATACCTTATTCAAATGGCTGGTCCTATTATTAGATGTATGGCAAAAAAAGAAAATCAATATATGTGTTGAACTATTAAAACCACTAATTATACAACAGGCAAGAACACTTAATGTTAAAACGTGTAAAGGGAAAAAGACAGAACCAGAGAGAGAGAGAGAGCAGATGTGAAGTTTTCATGAATTTGGATAAAACTTTTTGGTCTCTGCCTTATTGATCAACAATAAAGAGCATAACAACACGCACTAAATATTCAATAAATTACAAATGAGAGTTAAAGATTGCCAGATTTTGAGACATATGTAAAAGAAGGGTTTCTTTTCTCATCTGCTGAGATCAGTAACCTTGGCATAAGGCAGGCATCACTGCTGAACCATGGCAACAAACAGGTTTCACTACAAATTTAAAGAAGTTAAAATGACATTTTGTTTCTGTGATGCATTCATGTTTAAAGGTTCAGTGTGTAAGTTTTAGTAGCATCTCGTGGTTAGGGTGGCGGTTTGCAACCAACGGCTCACTGTGCATTCACGTGCTCCTCGGATGGTCCCATTTCCCGAGTTGTGAAGTCGTTCTTCCGACTTCTGGTGTGTTCATGCGCTTTTATGTCGGAATGTGGAATCAACATGGACGCTACTACAAAGATGTGTTAGATTAGCATTATCAGAGCAATTTAATTTCTAAATCCAACAATAAAAAGGCTGTGAAAACTTTCAACACATGGTCCTCTTTTAATATGTATATATGATACAGACTACCCCTGGCAAAGTTTTTATTATTTGTGTCTTCTTATATTTGTACGCTGTTTTCTATACTTTTTTATGTCCCATTTACACTTTATTCTTCTTTTTGCAATAAAGGAAAAGGAAAATAAATCCAATTATTTCAACACCACATGAATGCACCATCAGTCACCGCTCAGCCCTTCTTTTCCAAGCATGCAGAGAAGCTACGGTGGCCGACACGTTAGGTCGGCTCTTGGGTTAAATAATATGTGTGGTCCTCCATTTGTCAAAATTTCACTCTCTTCTAATAAACCATATACTACTACTACTACTACTACTACTACTGCTAAAACTACTACTACTACTACTAACGTTACTTGTTGTTGTTGTTCTTCTGCTTGTTTTTCAGATGTATTCAATGTAGTGACGAAACACAGTCTGTAGAGCAGTTTCTCCGTTTGGGCTACTGTAAAAACATGGCAACTTCCACGTAAGAGGACCCTCTGTGTAGATAGATAGAAATGGCTCATTCTAAGGTGATAAAAACATAACGGTTCATCATGTAAGTTCTTTATACACTACTGAAAACATAGTTATGGATATTATATTGCATTTCTGTCAAAAGATCCTCCTAAATATTGTACACTGAACTTTTAATAAGCAAATGACAAACATGTAAGGTTGAAAAAATACATTTTACAATAATCTTCACATAGATCAATTAAAACATATGAAAAATACTTTTTTTTCAGACCGAAAACATGACATCTTGAAACTGCTGAAATTTAATTCTTGTGATACAAAACTGGTTTAACTGAAGAAGATTTTAATCTGTTGGAGGACATAATGTAGCGCATTCAAGAATCATTGCAACAGCTAAAATACAGCAATGTCTACAGTTATGAAATAAAATTAACTTTGGTTATTAAAAGAGTCAAATTTACTTACAGTTAACATCCAGTCTGGGTTCACTGACAGCAAATCAAGTGTTGCAAATGAAGCATTAAAATTCACACATCAGTATCAAGGTGTTTCCACAGCACAGCAGGTGACTGACAGTTCTTTGTAACCTCTACCTGTTACCTGTTCTGGTACTGACACAGCATTAGAATTGGAATGTGCAATAACTCCATTAGAAAAAACAGAAGCAGTCATCTTACAAATTTTATACAGAGCAGTAACAATAGTGCTAAAAATAATTTGTACTGGTATAAGTTGGTTTGTTATGATGACTATATTTCACATACAAGTCCCTGTTGAAGTCAGTCAGAGCATTTCCATAGAGAGCCACTTTGCATCAGCAGCACCATGCTCCAGTGCTCTGGGAGAGTTTATAGTCCTGAGAGTTGAACACTGGATGACTGACAGCTGTCCTTCATGACAACAGAAGCCACAGAAATCCTCCTCATCAAAAACATGACTTTGATCTGCGTCCTCATCTGGACTCTCCTCTGCTGCTGCTTCACAGGTAAAGTCCAGAGAATCAAACTCCTCTCCTCTATGAACATCCGTCCCTCTGAAATGAAGCCCACAAAACCATGACGCTGCTTTATGTTTTTGTCTCTGTATCCTCAGAGTCCAGAGGCCAGGTCACAGTGACTCAGCCTGGAGCAGTGAGCTCTGCTCTGGGAGGCTCCGTCTCCATCAAATGTAGGACCAGTCAGGATGTTTACAATTCTAACCGTTTAGCCTGGTACCAACAGAGAGCTGGAGAAACTCCTAAACTCCTCATTTACGCTGCTAGCACTCGAGCATCAGGGATTCCAGATCGTTTTACAGGCAGTGGATCAAACTCAGACTTCACTCTGACCATCAGTGGAGTCCAAACTGAAGATGCAGCAGTTTACTACTGTCAGAGTTATCATTGGATCAACAGTCAAGCTGTGTTCACACAGTGAAAAAGCGTCGTACAAAAACCTCCCTCAGTCAAACTGAACAAAACTAAACTGACTGCTGCAGCTGGAAGCTACTGCAGAGACTGATACACTTCACTGAGGACACACACACACACACACACACACACACACAATGTTTTCTATAAGGTTGAAGATTTCTCTACTTTTGCTTTAACCACCAATGAACGTGTAGCAAAATAAGCTCAATTAAAAAAATGTAAATACTATATATAAAGAATATGGAATAACACATTTTCTCTAAAATGCAAATCAAAACTCCACCAACATACTGAGAGTAAATGATTATTCTTAACCTTGGAAACAACAAAAAAAGAAAACAGACCGCAACCAGCAGATGAAGTCACCCAGTCTTCATTGAAACGTAGATTTTCAAATTCCTCTTCCTCTGAGCATTTTTAGGACTTCATGTCCATGTTGGCTTCAAAGTGAAAATATTCTATGACAGCTGGGTGAACTGCGTCTGCTGAGGAAGATCATGTCATAAAAACAGTAATGTAACTCATGATGACTTCCATGTTTTTTGGCTCCACCCACATTTCTGAAATTTCTGGTTGGAGTTTCTCGAGGAAACTTTCTGAGATTGTTGGCCTCAGCATCCCCTCAAACACCCAACACTATTTTACTTGATCATATTTCCATATTACAGAAACCTAAACATGTGAAACCTGCATTTATATTACTTTTTTTTACAAACAAAGAAGACAAAACAAACTGTTACAAATCACTGGATCAGTTAACTACTAGACTTTTCAGAATCCTCTACATGTAAATATGTGAATATGTAGGAAACTGCTCTCTCAGCAGGACCCCTTTACTGTGTGAGAGCTGATTTTCTCCTTTAAGAAGTTTCTGTCAGGTGTTTTTCTGCTCCACCAGTCACTCACTCACACATTGTTACACTTCACATTAAAAGTGGGTCAATCCGAGGTCACTAAACATGTACAGAGATCACCACCATCTGACTAAACTACAGTATAATTCCAGAAGCCAGTACTATTGCATGTTGCCCTAGCCCAAAATGGTACAAAGAATAGAAAGAAAGTAAAAGCAAATAAACAAATAAACCACAAACTATTGTGGATCTTTCAGTTACATCACATGATGTTTCTCAGCAGATGGAGTCGGCATGTTTACACTGAAATGTAGATTTTCAAATTTTAATTCCTCTGATCATTTTCTGGGATTTTGTGTTTTGGCTTCAAGTTCAAATATTCCCTGACCTCTGCGTTATCACCATCTGCTGAAGAAGATCATGTAACTGATCCAAAGCTCCAGAAGAGCTACTGAATGGAACTTGTGGTGAAATGATTTTTACTGTCAAGCATCAACTTTCAGTCTCAACTTCTGAGTCAACAAGGGCAAGAAGTTCTCAAAGTGCAGCATAAACCTCACAATACTGCTCACTGATATTACAAAATGGACTTGAGGCAATCTGTCCAACTGTAACTGATGATGATATCTAAAAAAAAACTTCTGGCTGGAGTTTATCAGAGATCCTTGGCCCTAGCACCAACTCATGACTCATTACTGCTTCACCTGATGAAATATCTATACTATAAACAACCAATAAAGTCACTATGCATAAATATTCATGTCACTTATCATTGTCAAAAATACAAGTTTCCCAAAATAGAAAGACAAAACATAACAGTTACAAATCACTTGATTAGTTGACTAATAACCTTTCAGTATCCTTTACATGTAAATTTCCATCCATCCATCGTCAACCACCGTACAGGGTCGTGGGGGCTGGAGCCAATCCCAGCTTACACTGAGCAAAAGCAGGGCCCTGGACCCTGACCCTGGAAAGGTCACCAGTCCATCGCAGGGCCACACATAGACAGACAACCACTCACACTAGGACAATTTCAGAGACACCAATTATCCAAACCAGCACAGTGGGAGGAAGCTGGAGCACCCAGAGAGAACCCATGCAGACACAGGGAGAACATGCAAACTGCACACAGAAAGGCCAGGGTTTGACTCCACGAACTTCTTGCTGTGAGGTGACAGTGCTAACCACTGCACCACCATGTTTCCTCTCTGCAGAAATGTCGAGTGCAGGCAGACAGTTCGCAGGTATTTGCGCAGTGATCCAGATGGCGCCCGCTTAGACTCGAAGCTACAACATTAACAACAGCAACAACATTATTTAAAAAGGCGAAATTTTTTTTTCTTCAATCAGTAATT